GGAGGCCAAAAAAAGGTTAGAACTTTACTAAAGTTTACTCCCAAACAATGCAGTGCAACTGGGTGGGGGGTGGGGGGGCGGGGCTAGGGGCGGTTAGAAACCCTAGGGGCTTATAAACGGAGGCCAGTCCCCTAAGGAACCCGGTAATTCATTTTGTGCGAAGATTTCTGGCCAACCTCAACACACAGCAGAGGCGTTAGAGCAGCGGTTCTCAACCTGTGGGTCGCGACCCCCTTGGGGGTCGAACGACCCTTTCACAGGGATCGCCTAAGACCATCGGAAAACACATATATAATTACATATTGTTTTTGTGATTAATCACTATGCTCTAATTATGTTCAATTTGTAACAATGAAAATACATCCTGCATATCAGATATTTACATTACAATTCATAACAGTAGCAAAATTACAGTTATGAAGTAGCAACAAAAATAATTTTATGGTTGGGGGTCACCACAACATGAGGAACTGTATTAAAGGGTCACGGCATTAGGAAGGTTGAGAACCACTGCGTTAGAGGAACAGCAAAGACTGTAGTGACTCCCCCTATAACACGTGTCCTGTCAACATGCACTTCACGTCACAGTTTTTTGAGGGCAGTATACCTTTTTCCACTCATGGTTTACTGAACCATCCCCACCATACATGTGTAGGTTACTTCCAACCCGTTGCTGTCATAAATTGTGTTGTAGACACACTGTTGGACAACTTTGCCCATGTTCTTCAAAAATGCTAATTCTCCTAAATGAAGGTAAGTAAGCATGTATTGAGCTTTACAAACTGGATGATTTGGGCACTCTAAGCAAGACTGCAAAAGAAGCCAGTCATTGTCTTGTTGTTGCCTGTTTTGTTTTTACCATTCTAGCTCCTGCCTCCAGCCCTCTTGGCACCCTGGCCTCTGGTGGTGAAGGATCCCAGAGGGAACTACACCTGGACGCCCACCCGGGCTATTCCCAGACTAGGAAATAGCTTCTCCTTCCCCTCCAAACAAAACTCTCATTTATAAATAGGACTGATCTCACTTAAGACAAATGATGAAGTAAAACCCAAATGATGCTAGTTAACCTTTCCCTGTGAAATGTGAGTAGAGACATTTTTTGAGTGGGGAGGGGACGTTGGCTATCCCTCATTTTCTTCAGGCTTACTCTCCCTCACTCCATGACCCCATAACAGGGGATCAGAAACAAGCCTCCTTCGGAAAGGCAGCCGCCCCTTTCCTGAGCTGTCACCACCCTGCAGATGTGGTAGTCACTGCTGGAATGGGCAACATCCCAGGAAAGCTAAGCCCGACTTAAAATCTTGTTCTTGGATGACAAATGACTGGTAAGGCTGACAAACGTTTGAAATGTTCTTGGCTTGTGGAAGGTTATTTCAATCATTGATTGTGACATGTGTACATTTCAAGCTCTCACTTCTAGAGTGGGAAATCCCAGCTTTGAAAGAGGAATCAGCATCAACCTAGAAGCAGGTGAGTGGGCCTCTAACCTGTCCCTCCTACTAACAGATCAGATACAAAAGGCCATGCCCTTCTCTGAGGTTTTAGGTAATAACACTCACCCTCGGTGGGGTGCTGGGAGAATGATGTGAGCTAATGTATGAAAACATATTAAGTACGTACAAGCATAGGTATGTTTGTTGTCAGTCTTTGTAGAAAGAAAAATATTTTTATGAGCTCGACGTATATTAGAAATGTAGCAGAATCAAGCATTAGTAAAGCTATTTGGTATAATCAGGGTCAGAAAACTACAGAATTATACTTTTTCTTCCAGTAATGGCCTACAAGCAAAATATTCATATTCTGTTCTCAGCAACAAGTTCAACTGTCAACCTATTAGTTCAGAATCCAAAGGATATGTTCAAACATATTCGGAACCCAGTGATGTGTCTGCGTTGTTCAATGTAGCCTCGGGAAATCAGAAAGAAATATTTATGTGTTAAAAGAAGAATTGTCAAGAAAAATTCCACAGGGTGCTCAGAGTTTTCTGATCTTTCAGAGAAAAGGCGAGACTGCATCTTCCTCTCATTTCTTCCGATTAGGTGCTGGGATTACAACATGAAACAAGACAGAGTCTCCAGCCTCTTGTCTAATGGAAGAAATCAATGAATAAACAGTCTAGTCTATGTGCTAATTAAAACAGACAGCCCTGATTACGTGGTATGTTTGCTCTGCTCTGTTGCGGTAGCTGCCTGAAACCTGGGCGTGGGGCATAGGTTCCGGCCTGGAGCACAGGGTGCCTTTCATCTGCTCACAGGGCGTTCCCTGTCGGTTCTACAGACCTAAATTTCCATCACCTTCAGAACAAGGGAAACCTGCCTTAGAGTTTTTGTGTGAATTAGGTATGATTGGAGGGATCATCGCACTCAGCCATTTCTAGTAATAGGACTTCACTTATCATAGTTTGCGTTAGGGAGTAGGGGGATGTAGTTCCTGAATTTCATAGTTTTTTTTTAAGGAGTCAAAGCCTATTCAAATCAACTGATGTGAAGCCTGAACCTGGCCAGGCCACTCTCCCAGCTCTACCCATACCCTTACTCTGACCGGGCCCACAAGGCTGCTGGCACCAACACGCAGCAACTAGGGCTCCTGGGAGATGAGACCAAAGTCCTGTTTCTTTGTTTGTTAAGCCAAAGCTTCACATTTTGTTGTTAATGTAATGATGTTTTTGTTTATTTTTTTGCTGCTCTAGGGAAAGATTGTACCAGCTGGCTTATCAGTCACCATCCTGTGAATTCCCCAAAAAAGCCCTCTTTGGACAGATAATTTTAAAAGGCTCCTTCCCCCCACCCCCCCATGAGCCTCCACCCCCAGGTAAAGGGCTTGGTGAGCTGGGCTCTGGTGGACTTCAGCCCCACCCGCCTCTCCTGGCTTCCTGCAGTGTGCAGCCCGCATAGCAGGAGGTCGTGCACAGGTCCTGCCTCCCAGGGGTTTGCTTTCGGCTCCGGAGAGGACCGTGACTTCTGTACTAAAACAATGCTGAATGTTCGAAGGCTCTCTTCAATGTGGGCTTATCATTTTCTTCTGTATACTTTTCTTTTTAAAATGCCAAAGAGCCCTAGCTGGTTTGGCTCAGTAGATAGAGCGTCAGCCTGTGGACCAAAGGGTCCTGGTTTTGATTCCGGTCAAGGGCACATGCCAGGGTTGTGGGCTTGGTCCCCAGGGTGGGGCGTGCAGGAGGCAGCTGATCAATGATTCTCTCTTATCATGGATGTTTCTATCTCTCTCTATCCCTCTCCCTTCCTCTCTGAAATCAATAAAAATTTTTTTTAAAAATGCCAAAAGAAGTGTGATTATTAACATATTTTTAAAACTTACATAAGTAACACTCACTTTTCAAATCCTGACTTTGATTTCAAGTTCTGCTTCCCCTCTTTTTATTCTTAGGTTTGAAACCATAAATGCTTCCAATTCTTTATCTCATCCTCCTTCCTATTTGTGCCCCTCCCCCATAACATTTTGGAGAAAGGGAATCAATCACCTTTACACCATCGAGTCAGGATTTGAAAGCAGTGTCTGTTCTAAGATGCCTTCTGTGCTTCACAACCATTTTGAAACGAGATGACCAAGTTTGAACAGTGCCTAGAAAAATATTCCCACGTGGTGCTTGGGGTTGGGGCTGGGTGTGCCCTGGAGTGGGAGGGCTGGTCATAAGGAAGGGACAGGCATTACTGCTGTTGGTGGAGTGATCCCCAAATCCCAGTCTGTGGCATTAGGGAATATCTGAGGTGTACCCAGAGTGTCCCTTGTTAGTGTGGGGTTTCACAATTTCTGGAGACCTCTACCATTGAGTCATGAAACTTGAAGTTAAACCGGTGACTGCAGAACAGACAAGATTAGGAAGCCAGTTCCTAGGGAGACTGACAGAACGCTTCATCTCAGCCAGAGTAATTCCTGCTGTCCCCACACTCAGAAATGGATATGTGAAATCCAGGTACAGCGCAGGTGCGAGTGTGACCCCATGAGCTGGCACCTAACAGGCCAGAATAAGCTCCTGCCGAGTGAGTGGCAGGGGCCCTGGGCCTGCACTTGCAGAAGCCCTCAGCTGGGACAGCTCCCGGTGCACCACCCACCAGGACTGGGGTGGGGGGTGGGGGGCAGGAAACAGGCTTCCAGGGAGCAGAAACTTGGAGGCGTGGGGAGGAGACAAGAACCAGGGACAGGTCTGCCAGCCGAGGACCCCGCCTATTTTATGTAATGGCTGGGGTAGAGCATTGAAGCTCACTCCCTGAGACCTTGTTACCAACAGACCTAAATGCAGATTTAGACGCGTTTAGTGAGAGCTTTCTCCTTGCCAGGGGGAAGCAGAAATGTTTAGTGCTGCACTTTTTCCCCTGGAAAGGACACCCTGGAGTCTTTGGCAGCCTGGGCAGGGGGGTGGGGGACTCAGGATTCAGGATGCTGCCTGGGAAAAGTCGGAGACAGTGGCCACAGCGTGACAGTGGCCACAAACTGTTCGGGACCCAGGACTCTGCGCAGGCTCAGGGTCTCACCTGTGGAGGGCCTCTCAAGTCGGAGTGATGTAGGGGCGGGAGGAATCTAACAGAGACAGATGGGGGAGGGGGCAGAGAGCAACCAGGGGTCTAGATTTGGGACACTGAGCTGCAGCCCAGAGGAGAGGGGGGGCCGGTTTTGTCTGAATTGAAGATGTGTTGGCCAAGGAGCCAGGAGTCTAGACCAGGGAGTTTGAATCTGCGCGGATTCTGTTTAAGAGGAGAGCTGATCTGGGGGGAAAGGTGCAAAACAAGCGGAAAGGGTGTCCGGGTGCTGCGGTGGAGCGGGGCGTCCAGCACGCACGGACCAGGGAACGGCCAGCGCACACCCCCTTCCCCAGTGCTCCAGCCGACACCCTCACCCACCCCAGGACTTGCTGGGCAGGGGATCCAGCCGCGGGGCCTCCCCTCCCTTCGCGTGGCCTCTCCCCCGCATCCCCTCCCCCGCTGAGCCGGCAGCAGTGGAGCCGCGACAGGAGTGCAGGGCACAGGCAGTGGCGCGCGCTGGCCATGGCGCAGACTGCGGGCGCGCGGGGTCGGCCAGGGCAGTGCGGGCGGTGCGGGAGGCGCTGGAGGTGCGGGAGGCGCACGCTGGTTGCCTGCGTTGCCTGGACCGTGGTCTGGGTGCTGGCCGCTGCGCTGCTGCTCCGCGCGCACCCCGGGGTCCTCTCTGAGCGCTGCACGGACGAGAAGAGCCGGCGCATCCTGGCCGCGCTGGTAGGTCCCGCTGCCGCACTGCCCCGCGAGGTGCGCCCGGGTGCAGGGGTGGGACCCGGGTCGTGGGATGCAGGATGCGCAGGTCCCAGTCTCCGTGGGATGGGCACTGTGTCCCCGAGCCCTCCCGGCGCGCAGGAGTGTTTCTCCCCACGTCGCCAAAATTGGTCCTTTGTCCCAAGAGTCTTCCTGCCGACTGCTCTCCCGCCGCCCCTGAGCCCGCGCTCCTAGAAAGTTTGCGGTAGGCTCTGAGTCCCCCCACAACCCCTTGGTGGCCCATCCCGTGTGGGGCAGCCGGGTTAGGGGCCAGGATACGGACCAAGATGCTTCTCGGGTCCCTGGGTCCCTGTTCTCTGGACCAGACTCCGTTCTGCGCTTCCAACCTGGGCTTCACCACGCCGAGCCGATGCGCTAACAGGGCCCTGCCTCCTGTGCCCCAAGCCTCGCTCGCCTCACACTCGCCTCATGCATCGGTGGGACCCCAGGCACAGCGTTCTTCCGGGAGGCGATCCGACCCCCGTGGACCCTAGTCCTGGGGTAGTGGCTGCAGTCTCTGTCCCTCCACGGGAGGGCCTGATTGCTCCTCAGCTGGGCGGGGCGGGAAGGGGAGACAGAACCGCAGGGTTCTGTCTGCGCGCACTGGGCCCCAGATGCTCATCAGTTGCTTCCCAAACGCTGGCTGCTCCTTAGTCTCAGTTTGGTTCAGAAGATTATGTGCTTTAGGAGATTTGAACAAAGGGAGAAATCCCCCAAAGGAAAGCCAAGAAAGATGAAGACAGCGGCTACTCCTGTTACATTGATATTTGAAGTGTTTATTCACTTCTCCAAACAGTGAGCATCTAAGCATTTGGTATGAAAAGTGATCTGTTTTCTAAGAAATCTTCAAGAAACGCATGGAAAGTTTTTAGTTCAATTGCTTATATATGGGTGGGCCCTTTGAGATTGTATGTTGTTTTTTTTTTTTTAAATATATTTTTATTGATTTCAGAGAGGAAGGGAGAGAGGGAGAGAGAGAGAGAAACATTAATGATGAGAGAGAATCATTGATTGGCTGCCTCCTGCAGGACCCCTACTGGGGATCGAGCCTGCAACCCAGGCATGTACCCTTGACCAGAATCGAACCCAGGACCCTTCGGTCCCCAGGCTGACGCTATATCCACTGAGCCAAACTGGCTAGGGCTGAGATTGTAGGTTTTCAAAACGGGGTAGCATAAAGGTTTTCAAGTAAATGATTTTTTTATATAAAAAGTGAGATTGGAAAAATTTAAGGAATAATGAGTGAAAGGTACAAGCTAAAACAAATCATATTCCCTAATTGAGTCTGACATGTGTCATCATGAATGGACCATAATGCAAATGAGACTCACATCATTGATTCCCTCCATCCTATCATCTATCCATGCATCCATGCATCCATGCATCTACCACCCACCCACTGATGGTTACACTAAAGTTTATCAAGTTTTCTTTAAGTTGCATGAGCTCTTTGATTTTCTCAGGAACCCATATAAAAACTCCTTTCTTTTTTGGGGGTGGGGGGCTGATTGACTGTTTATAGTGAGTGAAGATTAATAGTTTGGCCAAGAATGAATACTTCTGCTTACAAAAATAATAGAAAATAATCTTTTAGATGAAAGTAAAAGATGAATTCCACTTTTCCATTTATCTACCTTTGACTAAGTGGGAAAGGCCAAATGGAAATGAATAGCCTAATATAAATTAAGTAATTGCTCATCATAACTTTCCAAGCATTTCAGCCCATAAATTAAAGCCAATTCTGACGAGTGGTTCTACCACTAAATCTCCAATGGCAGCCCTAGGGGGTCATTTTTAGTCTGACCTAAAGCTGAAGAGGGCGGTCCTCCTTCTGGAGGCTCTCTCCTTTCTTGTTACCAAAAGAATGATGTGAAATCCCAGGTCCCTCTTGCTGAAGTTCACCTGCCGTTGTCTCCCTGAACTGACTTTTCGGGGAGCATCATTTGCACGCCTTGTTGGAGGCCATGGTTTCTCCCACGTGATCAGGACTTGGCTTTCTCTCCCTCTCTTCCTACCTTCTCCATTCTGACTTGTTGATGTGAGCCCCACGCAGCACGCTGGCTCCCTTTTACCCAGGACACTACCCTCACACAAGCTTTGAATAAGACCCAGTCTGCAAACCTCGCTTGCTGGGCCCTAGCTGCCCCGCAGAGGCTGGCACGGTGGCCTCCCAGGACTCCAGCTGAATCGAGCTCCTGTCTCTGGGCTCCCCAAGCACTTTCAATTCATTCTGCCTGGCTTTTATCCTTAGTAATAAAACAGGCTGTTAGTTTTCTGACTGGCCTCCAGACTCTCATTAGCTTTCCCTCTGAATAGCAGAGCATAGAAGGAGTAACTGAACTGAGCCAAAGGGAGCCCTCTTTCTCTCTCTGGCAGGGGCAGCAGAGTTGTGGACAAGGCCTGGGGTTTCCCAGGCCCCCAGTGCACAGGGGCCTTGCGGCCTGCGGGAGGAGTCTAGCTGAAGCAGAGGAGCCAGGAGCCAGGTCTGCTGCTAGCCCCAAGCCACCCCACCTCCTGAGGGAGCCCACCGCACTCCCCAGCCCTGGAAGAGCCAATTGGCCTTGTTCCAAAGAGTGGAGCACTGGGTCTGAGAGCTTTGGATTTCCCTAGTCAGACTGCAGTGCTCCTCTGTACTGCGGCTTTCCAGCTCATCCCATAATGAAGACATCCACATGCCCTCTTAGACTGCCCTGGGAGGTTGCCCGACTGTTCCAGAGAGCAGTGCCAGGAGGCGATGCAGGCAGATGAGCCTTAGGCCATGCTTGGTAATTCTTGCGCCCGGCTCCTACTCTGCGGGCGGAGTTCTTCCTGCAGTGGCAGAGAGGGCTGGGCTGCGGGTGCCTGTCTGCTTCTCAGGGTAGGCACTGTGATTAGTTTTACATGTATCATTTCACTTAATCCTCTCCACAACCTCTGGGAGGCCTGTGCTTTGACTATCCCCATTTGGCAGATGGTGAAACTGAGCCCCAGAGGGGTCAGCTTGTCCTGATTTGTGCAGTTAGTGTGTGTGGAGCCAGGGTGAACCGTGTGCAGTCTGATAGGAGAGACCCTGTGACAGCGAGTGGCTTCTTTAGTAATGAGAACCGTCAGTAACAAGTGGGTATACTTGACCCTCCACAGCATATCGCTTCCAAAGCATCTCACAACTGTTCCCACGGCTGTTATTCAGAGGCTTCCTTCCCTTTTGGCTAGTTAGGCTTTATGTGATTTAACTTAGTTGCCTACATTTGGGGTTCCTGTTTAGACAGGCTTGTCTTTTTTGCTGTGATGGAAACCCAGGGCCTTAGCGCACATCCAGGGCACATGCCCAGAAAGACTTTATAGCAGAGAATAACTCTGTTCTCCTGAGTGCTCGTCCAGGGTCAGGAAGACTGCCCAGCAGACTGGCCAGTTGCTCTGAGAGTGCAGTGCACAGCGTCACTGCCGGGGAAGGATCTTCATCGTGTGACGATTGCTAACCACACAGGAACTCAACACTCCTTAAAAACAAAACCAAACACACAGAAAACCCAGATCTTAGGCATGACCCCCGAGACCTGTCAACCATTTCCCAAACTGGAACGGACAGGCTTTGTTTTTGCTTGAGAAGCATGATACAAGCCGGAGAGATTCTAAGCGACAACCACAAAGAACTCTTCCTGCAGAGCTGGGCATGCTGAAAATGTGTGTTTGCATATTCCCACACAACTGCAGGAAATACAAACGCACAGTGAGTCCAACTAATTAGATAATGCCACTTAACGACAATGAGACTTTTTTCTCAGTGTATACCTGTGGATTTTCTGTGCACACACATGTGGGTACAGAAATGTACCTGTCTTCAAACTGGCAGTTTGGATGTCCTCATAGTCAGAGGAAACTGATTTTTAAAATGGAGTTAAAGGAAATAAAAGCACATTTTATTTTATTTTTTAGTTAAAAAAGAGCTTCTTCACCCTGGCCAGTGTGGCTCAGTGGTTGAGTGTCATCCCTTGCACTGAAAATTTGATGGGTCAATTCCTGGTTAGGGCACATGCCCGGGTTGCAGGCTCTATCCTTAGTGGGGGGAGAGGGGCATGCAGGAGGCAACCTGATTGATGATTCTTGTTCATCAGTGTTTGTCTCTCAACCTCTCCCTTCCTCTTTCTCTCAAAATAGAAAAAACACACCTCTTTTTGAAAAAAAAAAAAAGAGCAACTTCAATAGGACCTGCTGCTAAATAAAATAATTTAATGATTGTCTCTAACATGACAATTATTCATTAGTTTGTAACCTCATAATTTATACTGTAAGCTTGCTGTTTTTTAAATGCTAGATTAAGCTTTTCTCTGTGTTTAGTATGCACAGACATGCGAAGACTCTGCAGACGCACTCTGGCACTAGTGACCAGAATAGCTGCTGTGGACAAAGTTTACATTCTACATAAGTGGCGTGGGAACCGAAATGCCCCAAATCCCCTATCCTAAAGGATGATAGCAAAGAACAGTTGTGTGATAATTGCATTGTTGTGCTTTGCTCTAATGTAAACGGTCTCCTATGATAAATGAGGTCACAGACCTAAGACCTCACCTGGGCATCTCGCTCCACTTCCTGTCCTTGCCGATGCCTAACACCACATCCCTTATGCCTCAAAGTGCTGATCTTCAGAAAACAGCCAACATTAATGTTCCCCTCCAAAATCGATAGGCCATATGCCAGATTCAATGATTAGACTGTTGTTCAAAATATCTTGCGACTGCTGTTTGGAACTGCCTTCCAAATTTGCAGGGGCAAATCTTGGATAGGTTTCAATTCAATTTGAATTTGATTTCATCAATGCAGTACAGTTTTGTAGGGAAGGCTGAGCTGCGGGAAGCCTGCAGGAGGGGGGATGGCGCAAGGGTGGGTCCTTCAGTGAGAGCCCTGGGCAGAGGAGCATCCCCACCAGCAGGTAGGGCTGCCTCAGGGGAAGGTTGATCTGACCCTTGCAGGGTAGGAAGCATTTGTGCCAGGTGGAGATGCAGAAATGGCTTTTTTTTTTTTTTTTTTACAGTTTTAAAATTGATTTTTTAGAGAGAGAGGAAGGTAGAGGGGGAAAGAGAGAGAAACATCTATGGGAGAGCAAAACATCTATTGGCTGCCTCCTGCACGACACCCAACAGGGGTCAAGCTGCAACCTGAGCATACGTTCCAACTGGGAATGGAATGGCAAGCCCTCAGTGCACAGGTTAATGCCCAACCAACGTAGCCACACCGGCCAGGGCAGGAATGGCATTTTTGATAGGACACCCCAGTCCATCACACAATGGCCGACGCTCTGACCTGCACTCCACACCCTGAACTGGTCTTGTTCTCTGAACACCCCATGCTACTTTGCAACTCCAGGTCTTGGCACAGGCTATTTCCTTCCATGAAACTGCCCTCCCCCTCCTTGTCTACTAAGCAGACTTGCCATTTGTTTTTCAAAAGTGAGCTCAGATGCATCTCTCTAGGAAGAAGCCTCCTTGGCTCCCGACGTCTAATGACCAGGATAAAACTAGCATTCCCTGAGATAACCAAGTCCTCTGCACCCATGACCTTGGTTGACCTCCACAGGCCTCCTGTGACACAGTATTATCGTCCTATATTACAGATTTGAAAACATGCTCCACACCTCGTGAGGGCAGAGCCCAGGGACCAACTCAGTTTTCCCAAACCACACTTCCCAAACTTACCTTGCCCATGTCATACTCCGCTATCATGGATGAGTTTCAAAGGCAGCCACCACTGTTCTGTGAACTCTGGAGCCTGGTACCTGTAGTTGGATGGAGGCTCAGCTCTCCCACAGCTGGACTGAGTTGGAAAGTGGCATTGTTAACTGGAAGCTGGCCAGGTGTACCTGAGGCAGGTGGGCCTTGTCTGTGGCCATTGCTCTCTAGCTGAGTCTAGCACAGTGGTTCTCAACCTTGGCTGCACATTAGAATCACCTGGGAATCTTTTTAAAATCCTGATTTCTGGGCCTCATCCTCCGGAAATTCTGTTTCTTTGTTATGGGGTGGGTGATTCTAATGTGCAACCAATGTTGCGAACCACTGCTGGCAAGTCCTGGCTGGACTGGCTTCTTAGGGATGACTGCAGTGTGGAAGTGGCGGGGTCACCACAGCTGGACGGCGGGAGACCAACTTCTGGGCTCTGGGTGTTTTGATTTTGAGACCCTAGCCCTGGGCCTGATTGAGAAACATAAATATGAGGCACTTTGAAGTCTTTTATTTAATTATGCACTGACTTCCCAAAGACCCTGCAGGGCTCATGGGGTTCCCCTCAAGGGCTGATGAGAAGCACCCCAAGCTCAGGGACCAACCTGGGCCCTTGTCCTGCCCCCTTCCGCCGCCACCACCTTGTGACCTGCTGTCCCTTCTTTCCCAGTGCCGGGACTACCAGGGCGGGGCGCTGGCGGGCGACCTCTGCGAGGACCTGTGCGTGGCGGGGAGGCTGCAGTACCGGCGCTGCCTGTACTACGAGAGGGGCAAGAAGGTGCTGCAGGCAGACTGGCGCGGCCGCCCCGTCATCCTCAAGTCCAAGGAGGAGGCCTTCTCCAGCTTCCGGCCGCCGGGCCTGATGGAGGACCAGGCCGAGGACGGAGGCCAGGGCTTCCCGGAGGCAGAGCTGCTCCTGCTGGTGGCGGGGGAGGTCAAGAGCGCCCTGGGCCTGGAGCTGGCGGCCGGCAGCCTGGGGCCGCTGTGGCCGGGGCGCCGGGGCGCGCGCTGGCGGGGCCAGCTGGCCAGCCTGTGGTCGCTGGCGCAGCAGGAGGAGTTCGTGCTGCTCAGCATGCTGCACGGCCTCAGCCCGCACGCCCCGCCGCTGCTGGGCTCCTGCGGCCACTTCTACGCGGTGGAGTACCTGGCAGCGGGCAGCCCCCACCACAGGGCTCTCTTCCCGCTGGACGGGGCCTCGCGGGGCCAGGCCCAGGCCGTCAGCGACATGGCCCTCAGCTTCCTGGACCTGGTGAGACATTTCGACAACGACTTCTCCCACCGCCTCCACCTCTGCGATGTCAAGCCCGAGAACTTTGCCATCAGGAGGGACTTCACGGTGAGTGCTCCTTGGAGAGTGGACGCATCATGTGGGGGACGGATGGTTTTAAATGAGAAATCCTGGGGCACAATGTAGCATCATGCTGCCCTGTAGCCTGGACAGCCCATGCAACCCAAGCTGAGTTCATGAGAATTCAAAGGACACATGCACCTCACCCCACTCCAGGGGGTGGGTGGAATGAAAGGCTGGAAGGCAGGAGCCCAGGCCCAGAGGCGAGGCGTGTCCTCCCTGGGGCTGTTCTGGAAAGCAAACTCTTGCTGAGAGCAGAAAGCAGTCTTCAGGGAGGAGGGGCCACATAGGATGACGAGGAGGATGGCCGTGGGGGCTTTTGGACAACAATCCAGTTGGGGGATGCTGTCTTCAAACTGTCCAGGCTCCATGACAGTGTGCAACATTTTTCTAGCACTTTCTCCCTGGAGGTTCTAGCTAGCTTCCCTTCCACGGGTAAGATTTCTAGAGGGACTGGAGTGGGGCGCCTTCTGCAGGGACAACCCTGCCCAGGTGGACATGGTGGCCTCCACACTGTTCTGCAGGGCAGGTGCGTTTTTGCTCCCTCTCCAGTGTCGGAGGAATTGAATGAGGAGGAGCTGCAGTGGCAGGAGGGACTGCAGTGTCATTGGAAGATAATCCTCTCTCTCCTCCCCCCTCCCTAGGTAAACCCAGGTGTCACAATAATGCTACCTGATCTGGATGCTCTATCCCAGGGGCCATTGCCTGGGGTCACCCCTGTTGCAATGAGTCATCTCTTACACTGCACCTGCCAGCAGGTGAAGGCCCAGGCCAGCTTCACTCCAGCCGCCTCAGTGGGCTGGGCATTGTGGAGGCTGGCTCATGGTGGACATAAGAAATGTTCAAACCTATAGAGAATTTTTATGAGTTTATTGGGCCAAACTGATGACAAAACCTCAATAGTTAGAT